GACGGGGGCGACCGATTCCCACAAAGTGCGCGTCGATCGAGCGCAGCACAAGTGTTTTGCTGGGTTGCTTACTCATACATTCTCAGAGGAAAGATCATTCTCCTTCTTATGACAGCCTGCTGCGTCATTTCAGAATCCTACGACTAGCGGCACGAAGAGGCACAATTTACTCTTTCTGAGAAACATCTTCCAAGGCAGACTGAAATCTCAAATATCGCTGAGCCGTTCGTCCTGCCTTGTGCCACCTCGATCGCCCCACACCCAAACTCTGCTCGCTGTACCTCGTGCTCTAGAACTAGAAGGGCTTAGGTCTCAAGGACAGGGCTTTGAACTGCACCAAATGGTCTTCAAGATGGCTTTTTCAATTCAAAATCCTATGCAAACGTGAAACACTCGCTTAAGCATAATCAGTACACCCTGAAACGATCCAAAACATCTTCGACCAGCCTAAGTTCTTCCGAAGGACGAAGTTATTTACATACCTGTTGTACTCACCATTTGTGCCCTGCATTTTTGGGTCCTACGCGTCGTTACTGTGTTTATTTATTTTATGATCCTTAAAATTCTTTGCTCCGCGGACATTTCTCCACACATTCTCAAGTTAGTTTCTTGCCGGAGGTAGTGTCTGCGCGTCCTAACACCAACGTTCACCCAACGCTGCCATGAAGTGGATCTGATTGTGGGCAGGTTAAAGCAATCAGGCTCATCGCGCATGAATTGAGGACGTAGTGCGCCGGCCTTTACACTGTGGGGCGTCAGCAGCCTGGGGAACGTACCAAGTGACCTGCTTAACACCCCAGAGTTACCTGGACCGTGACCTGGCTTCGGGCAGCTCGCCTCACACTCCCTATTCACCATAGAGGTGCGTCAAAAATTGTAGGGCCAGTGACACTCAGGCAGAACGTGTCCGTTCGTGATACGTCCGATCGCCGCCTGTCGACTACATGTCAAGTGATCCTTGTAGGATGATGATAGCGAACGAGGACAGCATTTTAGTTGTGCACCGCCATGGCACACGCAAACGCAAGCGCGTTATATATACATATATAGGTATATACATATATACGCATAAATATACATGATATCAATGTCATAACAACTTCAAAGAATGGCACGCACGTCGTTGTGCACCATTCCATAGTACGTTAACCACTTGGGTATTACCCACTTGCACACACACACACACACACACACAAATACAAGCGCGCGCTCAAGCGCACGCGCACGCACAAGCACGCGCGCACACACACACGCCCATACATATAGTCGTCTAATATATATATATATATATATATATATATATAATTGCTTGTACCCAACATCAAATTCAGTGTTTATGATCTTGATTGTTTGAGGCTTCGTATGGTGCGCTGGTCGTGTTTGGCGTATCGATATAGCATGTTATCAAAGCTCAATATCTTTTTTATCTTTCAATCACTTTGTAGGTCGTTTTCAAAACCTTGACATTCCATGACCTTCAACTTGAGGCACCTTGTGCTGCGATGCTACGTACGGCGATCGCATTTGCGTGCAGTAAAAGTGGTAACGATAACTAACAGTGCTTCATTCGGTGTTAAGGATTTTGCATAACTTTCCATTGATTACGAGCGAGCTTACATCACCATGGACTCCTTCCAGCCTTTCCCAGTCGTTCTTTGCCATGGTATAGCGGTTTTGTAGGTAAATTTAACGCCACGGTTGAGACCTGACTCTACCCGACACCCATGACGACTAATAATCCATGTGCGTTGCTGACATTCCATACACGACTGTTTTACACCTCAGAAACACTGGTTAGAATATGTTGCAAGCAGATCTGATGCATTAGCAGGCTGGATAAGTTTCAAGCACAATGCCCACGGTGTAATGTCCGTTAAGTCGGTGATTTATTCAGTGATTTGTTCAGCGACGAGCCCCGATTTCTCTGAAGAAAGATCTCAAGATGGATTATGGTACGAGAACACCGAAAAGCACCTTTTTGCAATATAATGCTACCTTCGAGGTAAAAAACTGGGTCAAAGGAAGGGAAATCGATATGAATCAAAATTACAGGCCACTTTGAAAACTGCAAGCATCAAAATATTCACGAGCGCAAGAGCTAGCGTCCGTCAAAAAGTACTGTGATTTTCAAGGTCACCCTTCAAGACGGGAATTCCATATCATCTTAAGTTAACAAACAGCTATTAAACTGGTCAGAACCGGAATATTCACTACAGAGAGGACTAGCGTCCGTCAGAAAGTCCTGACTTTCCAAGCCGCCATTCAGGGTCAAACGCGGACTCAAAGAACGTGAAACTCAATACCACCCAAAAATTATCGGCCGATTGAAAACCTGAAAACATCAGAATATTAACCACAGCAAGAACTTGCGTCAATCAAAAAGGTCCTGACCTTTTGAGGTGACCGTTTATTGTGGAACTTGGGCTTAAAGGACGCGAAACTCCATATCACTCAGAAATTACCGACCGATTTTAAACTTGCCACAACTAGAACATTCACTACAGACAGGACTAATATCCGTCACAAAGTCCGGATTTCTCAGTCACTCTTCAAGGTCAAACGCAGGTTAAAAGAAGGGGAGACTCAACATCACCCAAAAGTTACCGACGGCTTTTAAACTCGCAAGGATCAGAATATTCACCACAGAAAAACTAGCGTTCGCCGAAAGTCCTGACCTTTCAAGGTCATCCTTTAAGATCAATTCAGGCTCAAAGGACGAGGAACTTCATATCACCCAAAAATTACCGGCCGATGTTAAGCTTGCCGGAACCAGAATATTCGCCACAGAGAGGACTAGCAACCGTCAACAACTCTTTAGCTCTCAAGGTCGCCCTTCGAAGTCGAACGCGGGCCCAAAGGACGGGGACTAATTTGATGGACGCTGGTTCTTTCTTTGGTGAGTGTTCTGATGCTTGCAAGTTTAAAACTGGCCGGGAACTTTTTGATGATATGGGATTCCCCGTCCTTTGACCCGAATTTGACCTTGAATGGTGACCTAGGGAGATCAGGACGTTTTGACAGGCGCTAGCTCTTACGCTTGTGAATATTTTGATGCTTGCAGTTTTCAAATCAGCCGGTAATTTTTGGGTGGCATCGAGTTCCCCTTCTTTTGATTCGGCCCTTGACCTCGAAGGTTGGATGGTATTGCAATATAAAGGTCACCTTCGATGTTCTGGTGCCATAATTGACCTCCAGACCTTTGTTCAGAGAAAGCAGAATCCGCGCTGAATAAATCGTCGAACAAATCACTAACTTCACGGACATCACATCGTCAGGGGCTGAAAAGTTCAGAAGATGTCCCTGAAAAACGGACCTGATACATCTTGTTCCGAAGCTTCCCCAGCACTGATTTCACAACACAATTCTGAATAAAGTTTGCCACCGTTGATGTATTTCGCATACAAACCTCTTGTCAATGTCACGTTCCACATTGAGCACAACCATCATCTACAATACCGACACCATCACAAGAAAATATTGATTGGTCAGATCTGTGGTCAAGTAGCCCGCAGCCTTCTTCACACCGCCGATGACAATGATCAATCAGTTCGCTTTCCAAACGAGCGACGTCGGAAGACAGCGACATTCTTTCCAATTGGCAAACGCTTTAAAGACGCAAGGCAACAGCTGCCCCCGCCAGACTCAACTGGAAATGCATGCAAATATGGTTGTCCATACAGCTCCACTTCCGCATGAACTCTTGGTATGGCACGGGGCTGTTGTTGTAATAAACAAAACAAACGATGCTGGTGCTGATGAAAAGGACCGCCTGGACCCATCTTAATTTATGTTCAAGCATCATCCCATTTCCCAACATTGTGTAAACATTGTCTCATCGATATGACGTCACCAGCATCTGAATCCATTAGCATGCACGAACCGGGCCACTTGTTCGGTGGACAGAAAGCTACTAGCGGGACGTTTTCCTGGGCAGCAGCATAATATATTTCTGAGACGGCATAATGAAGTTACACAAAATTGATGAAACCAATGCCCTACCCTTAGCGTTAAGAGCGTTCTCGAAACTGGTGGAAAACATGTTGGTTGCAGCACCTATTGTGTTCTTTGAAACATTAGTATTGGTACTCATATGGTAAAAGCATAGTTTAACAATCAGTTAAATGCATGCGCATGCCATGTTGTAGCATTCTTAAGTGTGTGCGGTTACCATTCTGGTCACTAATACGCATATTGTCGGCAAGCCCGCTGAATGCACCGCATACTGGCAGAGCCACGCTATCGCGCTGCGCCAAGATAGCCCGTGGCCGCAAGATGCTAGACCGGAAGAGGTCCGTTTTCCCCATTATGTGTATATTGAGCTTCTTCCGAGGAAAGTGAACTGTCGCTTACCGAAACTTCAGCCAGTCTGCAGCCATACATGTCACAAATAAGTCTACCGCGAAAACTCTAACAGGAGAAATGCTAGAAAGATCAACGCTTTCGGATCATAGCGTGTAACTGTTGTAAATCACCAGCTGCTCAAGGCTGCTCTCTCTAGCATACAGCTGTTAAAAAATAGCTTTTGTCCTCAGCTTCCAAAGCCTCATAACGGTGCTACACAAATGGCGTACAGCCTAACTAATCCACGCACCGAACGGCGAGGCATATGCAATGATGGTGTGAACATGTGCATACCTGCGCTGTCGTAAGGCATGCCGAGCAGCTGATGAATGCAACAGTGTTCGTGCTCCTAAAAGGGACGCCTTACCTATTTACATTGCCAACGGTACTGTGTGATGATAAGACACGCACGCACTTCCTGTCCGTAAACGCTGGACTGACTACACAGCATGGCTATACGAAACTACATTTACAAGACTGCACAATCCACACCACACAGGCATATCTTCAAAGATTCGCGCCAGATTCATGCACCGGCAATGCTCGTAGCACACGAAACCTCCCACTAAGCCTGACTCAGCACAGTCGCTGGTGTAAACAGGTTTCACAGCGTGCTGGACGGATTCGAAACCTTGTCCCCCGCCGAACGGTCTCCAGAACACAGGGATTCTGTCCGTGCCGGCGTAGATGCGGTATGCGGCACAATCTTTCAGGTGCGCTGCAGCGGTGGGCCAAAGCCCAGGGCGAGCCCCTCTGCAAGATGAACAATCCATATTATCACCCCCCTCCGTTAACGCAGGTAGCTCCTGCCAGGCTCAGAGACAGAATGTGCACGCACTTTCATGCTTGCAGCGTAGCACGCCTGAGAGGTTCTCAGACAGACAGTGGACAATTTGTGTTTGACGCACCTTATGAGTACCACGTCACCAGTGGTGGCGAGACAATGGCGTGAGGCCCAATAACGTTCTCAGCTAGTGGCGAGCTTTTAGACTGCCAACAGCGTGTATCGGAAAGGAACGAGCTCAAAGGTAACGATCACCGCGTAGGCACTCATCTGCACCTGAGAGGAATGAAGGCACTAAACGCCGGGGCATCCATCAGGTGGGCCTTCTTATAGAAGGGACACTTGGAGGGGGGAGGAAGGATATTCGCCACAGAGGGAGCGAGACTCTTACCAAACAGGCATGAAGGACAAGGGGGAGACACCTAGGACAAACAGGTACCAACCAGAGATTGTGAAAGCATCTGCCAGGGGAGGATACGCTTACCACGGAAACACCGCCAAGGAGGAGGAGCACTTACCGGACGGTGCGGGCGCTCACCAGCGCCGGAGGCGGACGGCGGTGGCCACGCCCACCATGAGTGAGACGGTGAGGCCTCTGGCCAGCAGGAGCGCCGCGTCGGACGTGCTGTAGCCGGGGACGTTACAGGCCGGCGGGCACACAGGGATGAACGCCTCTGCGGACGGACGGTCGGTCGATCAACACCGTGGCGGCAAGCAGCACTCAGCAGGAACAGTCGGAATAGGCGGCGCAGTCAGCGCACGCGGCACATATGCCTCAGGTGGTATGGACGACACGGGCGCCACAGGTGGACCTTACAGGTCTCCGACATCGCCTGCTCGGCATCATCTGCCCGCGCGTGGAGGCGCAGAGGGGTGACGTGGTGGCGATCTAGTGGCCGCCGCCAGATCCCTCCAGCGTCGCTCGACCACGCCTGTCTATGCGGAGGGAAACGCAACAGAGGAGACACATGCGACATACGCAGCATAGGCGGCTACGGCGACACAGACAGAACTGGTGTGAGGTGTGTGGGGCTCGGTTCAGATGAGCTCAAATAATGGCCACATCATGTGCTTACATTTACTAACAAAATTTTGAAAGCCCAATCGTCGATATCAACACCCATCAATCGAACAATACTGGCAGATCCCAATAATACAAAAAAACACATGAAAGCGAGGTCGCTGCATTTCGTTCTCGTTATTTACCATAACTAAGTTAGTTTTAATGGCAGGTCTCAACTCTCAGCCATCTGTGATGCAAATGCTTAAATCATGCCAGTTTCTAGCCTAACAAAAAGTGCCGTGTAGAAAGGCGATGGACAGCAAAGCTGCGCGAAGGCAAAAATCGCATCTTTGCTTAAATCACACCTGCAGACAGTCCAGATCGTTGAAATATGGTTTAACTAACAAGATATCATACCATCAAACGAAACCAAATATATTTTGCGTTGACTTGCCCTTCTAAAAGCACTTAAAAACTGGTTTGTTTGATAACTTAACAGCACGATGAAACTATTGAAGACATGCAAGGCTTAACACGTGCCCAGGTGGCCGACTGAATACTCTTCGCTCAGGTGGGGGTCAAATTGACTCCCTGAGATGTCAGCAACAAAGAGAGCTCGAAACACTAATGTTTCAGGTGGTATGGCCTGTACGTGAGCATACTTTTGACAAAACTTGTGGCTGCTAGGTCATGACCTTCAGGTCAAATAAGATCAAACGAGGTCAAACTCCATGTTGGTTTTTAAAGTGCTTCCAAAACCTAAACACTTGTTCTAAGGAAAAGGTCACCTGCTCATTTAAGGTCGGTGATCTCGTTTGACATTTTGAAGGTCATGGTGGCTAAAATAATACGAGAATGCTTTGATCTTTGCATTTAAATAAGCAGCAAAGATTACGCTGGGCAGCATGTTCCTAAAAACAAAGCATTGACCTGGACCATTTAAGGGCAGTAATCTTCTCTGACCTTTAAGATCTCTATGGAAGATGCATAATGCGGTTCCTGCTATTAATAAACTCGAAATGAGCATCAGAAACTACTCAATACAGGAAGCCCTTAGTAATGAAACAGGTTGGTTTTGGCATTGGTCTTATCTTCATATCTTACCCTAGGTCAATCAAATTTTCTCATTTAATTGTTGTGTTGCCCAAGAAACTATTTTCGCGATGCATGACTTTGTCTAGCACTCCGTTGCTGAATCAGATTGAACGATCCCCTAGAAATTGGCTTCGCTGAATCCATGACCTGACTTTTGATGCCGCAGGTCAGCGACCTTGCAAGGTACATCTATATTGCTAATACCACACGATTCGCTACTCAAATTTCTACGGCCACGCAAAACTTGGCGCGGCTTTACCGTACTGTTCGAACACTATTCCGGAAAATCTTCGAGTGGTGGGTCGAATTGGTCTCTACCCAAGCGCGTGTAAAAGGGTGCATACCACATCTGTATGGGTGTTAAACTGAAGCACTCATCTTGGAGACCATTCGGTGGATTTCAAAGCCTTATCCTTCTCAAGATCCAAACCATTCTAGTTTCTGGGCTACAGGCTCGCAAAGATGTGCGGACTTTTTCGAGGACACTACTTCAAGGTCACCCAGACATCTGTGGCATCAGCGTAACATCATTCTAATCCTGCCATTTCATTAGCCATAAGACGATCACGGTCAATAAAAGCATGATTGTCGATTAGTTCATATCTGGCGTTCGTGAGCACGATTTCAAGACGTAGCGGCCGCCAACTGGTCCTCAATACATGTTGTGCAAGGCACGATGACGTAATCAAACAATGAGGCATTGAGAAACGCATTAACTGAACAGAGAAACTATGTTGCATAGAGCAGTATTTTCCCTCTGAAAGTATGCCAACAGACACAGATGAGCATCTTTCATGAAGTCTCATGCTTGCTTCAATATCTTCACGTGTGAAAACTTCGCTTTACGGCAGGTCGTGGCCGAAGAAGGCCTTTTACGGCTCAAAATCACCGTCGATCATTGCCGCCCTGAGACCTGGACACAACTGAGAAGTGACACCGTTGCTCTGAACGATGTCAGGTTCAGAAGGTTACCCGTGCACGTTACGAACACCGGCATTCCACCGCGCGCTTACTGAGCGATGGCGAGGACGCAGCCCGCGCATGCCGCAGCGTTACTGACCAAAGGATGAGCGTAACTTCTAGCGTTGCCCTGGTCTGCAGATACCGGTGCTTGTCTCGCTGACTCCGACGCACGGCGCGCGGACCCGCTACTCACCGACTAGCTCCACCGAGTTCTCCGCGGTGCCGAGACGGTTCGCCGCCCGGCACTGGTACTGGCCGAACTGTTTCTTCTCTATGGACAGTGTGCGCAGGTTGCTGTCGGTGGTCTGGTCACTGGTGGCGAACATTGACATCCTGCCGGCGTGCGTACGAGAGCGTTATTAGGGACGTAGGCGTGGTTGGGCCAGCTGGTCACACACTCACAGGCAATCATCAGCAGCACAAAGCGGGACTTGGTTGCTTTCCAACATGGCGGAAACCGGGCTAAGTTACGAGTAAGTCATGCACTTGCGTTTTGAACATACGTTTTGAAGATAATCCCTGATAATCTTATCCCTTTGGAAAATATCAACCTACATATCGCATGCAACCCCCATTAACTCACTGGTGATGTTGGTTGTTGTTCAGGACGAGACCATCCTTAATCCACGTGATGCTAGGCGGAGGGTACGCCTCCACAAGGCATTCCAGGTCCATGTCATACTGCATCGCCTGCAAGACAGGAAAAAGACCAACACGTATCAAATTAGTTATGAGTTTGCTCATTCAAACAATGACGCTATCAAAAATTCACCTATAACTTCTAGAACCACACTAAGCAACAGAATGGCCCGAAACCATATTTACTGCCATGCCAAGGTCATCATTCTGACAATGACTCGACAATTAATTTAGTGATGTCTTGTGCACGAAAAAAACGCACACCAAACGGTCAGCTGTCGTATGCGTATATAAAAGAGCCACATCTTCAAAGCAATTCTCCAACGACGACATCTGCAAACAGGGCCTTGATGCCTCGACTAACGCCAATCTACTCGACAAAAGTAAGATTCCGCGCATAATACATGAAATTAAATACTCGAGCCACCTCAGCCCCCACTTCCACGGGCCACAACGAATGCTTTACAATTATTTCACCTAAGCAAAATGCAGCAAGCATCAATCGTGTGAAAATCAGGCATGGTATAGCGCTGGGACAGCGGTGCTTGCGGCGGGACGGCCCTCAGCGCACGCACAGTAGCTGCCGCCCGTCTACCGGCCGGTGCTGACCTGGTAGACCTTGGGCCTCGGCACAGTGATGACGGGTGCGAACTCCACCTCCACAGCCACGTTTCGCTTGGAGCCGCGGCCTACGCCGTTGTCGGCCACGCAGTAGTAGGTGCCACGGGCCTCCTTCCTGACGCTTTCGATCACCAGCACGTTGCCTCTGGAAAAAGGCGTCGGGCTGGTTAGACTCGCCAAGATTAACATAATGTCGTGACGGTCGATCGGCGGCTAAATAATGGGTGCGGAACTGCATGGCCAAATATGGCTGCATGAGGGAATGCTCGCTCGGGATATGCAGGTATTTCGTTGAATCGCTCTTTGATTGCATGCGTCATTTATGGTATCATTTATGGTTGCTAAATGTTTGGTAAAACCAGCGTGCCCACACGTTTACTCAATTTTTGAGCCATATGATACACCGAAATACAGATCAGTATTAAGCAGTGTCACACATTGCGAACACCCCTGATCAAGAGATCATAATTATAGGGGGCCGGCCAAATGTACAGAACCGATGCGCCTCCCGACCTTGCACAAAGGAGCTGAGGACAGCTACAATATCGTAAGTCAAGCACACCGGGATTGAGCTCTGTGAACGTCACCAGGGCCCAAGCCAGAAGGCTAGCAAGTCATTGGAGTTGTATTCATTGGAGTTCAATTAAACATATGAAGTCGTTTAGCGTAGCCCCCGCCGCTCGCCCCAGCGCTGGGAAGACGAAAATCTTGGCTGGCAGCCAGACTCGAACCCCCCCCCCCCCCTCCCCCCGAGTTTCGGCGCACAGTTGCGAGACGTCCGCTTTACCGACCGAACGACGACATCCCCATTCGAACAAGCCGCACGCGTTCTGAAATCTAACGCCGACGCCACTGATGAAGACTGGTGGATCGTACCGGGAGATGGCCTTGCCGGTGGGCAGCAGGTAGTTGTTGTCGCGCCTCCACGTGATCTCCGGCCGAGGGAAGCCGCTGGCGTAGCAGGACAGCTCCACGCGCTCGCCCTCGGACGCTATCACGGACCTGGCGGCGCCGGGCATGAGACGTCAGGGTACCGCGACCGCTCGGGGCGCACGTCCCATGCGTTTTGGAGGGCAGTCAGGCTGCAGATATTTACGGGTGGACACACCAGCTGCAGGGCCGTGGGCAAAATGCGAGTGCACAGGGCAAAATTTACATGGGTGACGCGCAATACTAGGCCATGGCAGGCCTGATGCCGTGATCTCGTATCAGCGTCACTCTCGTGCTCGTGTTGATGTCATTCGAATCATTCTGAAGAGAGTCTGTTCTCAACAACGCAGCACCTGGTGGAGTTGTCCGAAATGACCGGCTTCAGTCGAACGGCCAGCAGAACGGTGCCGCTGATGGAGTTCTGGACACTTATTTGGCATAGGCACTCGTAGACGCCCTGGTCAGATTCTTGGATGTCACTGATCTGCAATACACATCAACAGTGACCCCTGGAAGTCACTTATCTGGAACACACATCAACAGCGACTACTACACCATATTCCCACTAATGGTAATGTTCTCAATAGCACGGTAAATGCGATGTAGTACGGCACGTTACCAGAGTCGCTACATTATGTTTTAAAAACGTGCAGGATCAAAACGAAAGAAAGCGCGCAATTTGTTCACCTCCCAATCACGATGCAGGTCATTATGTACTTACTAGGTCAAAGCCAGTATAACAGGCTCTGTGAATTGCGCGAAGTTCTCAACCATTTGAGAGCCAATGCATGGCTGCTACCTCATGGTGGGTCGCATCGCACGATTATACCAGCCGTTGGGATTCGTAGCGCGTCGCTTGACACCCATAAATATAGGTTCGACGCCCTTTGAATTTTGGTTTAGTCTGCGTATTGTATCCAGTGCTGGACTGCACACATCGTCGAACCCCAATCTGGCTTAAAGATGCCTTTTAACCCCAGTGCTTTTCCGCAGGTGTCGTTTAACTCCCGTCCCCATTCACCGGGCGGCTTTTGATTCCCCTTCTGACCTGCAGGGTGTAGGTGTCGCCTTCTTGCTCCACCGAGAAGCGTGGTTCTTGTGTGAATAAGATCGTGTTGGAGGAGATCGGCACGTCAATGGAGTTCAGACCGTTCGCCTGCTTCATCCAGATGACTGAAAACTGATTGGCGAACTGGGAAGCGGGCAGGCTGTTAGCACATGATTGCAACGGTTAGGCGGATTAAAGGTGCACCGAGCGTCGGTTAAGCGATACCAGCGGCGAAATTGATACAGCTTTGTAAAGGTGTCAAATGTGGCAGCTC